TTGGGTCACCACTACGCATAATTGTAATAATCGAACGATCCTGTAAGTGAAGTTCGATTGAAATTACGCATAGTGCCGACGAGAAGCCTCTTAGGGCCCAAATTCGATAATAATACCCACTCTACAGTAATGAATAAGTAGGATGAGGAACGATTACCGGCAGGAGTGGCGCCAGCGCAGTAGCCATCGGTTTTTCGTTTTTCTTTTTTATAACTAATGAATGTGTGAGTCGTGCACTCTTAGCTTGTCAAAAATACTATGAGTCGGCACTACGCATAATTTCAATCGAACTTTACTTACAAGATCGTTCGATTATACAATTTGTGTAGTAATCATTTCAAAATGTGAATAGTACAGTGATGGATTGTTTCCGTCGGAAACGCTAGTGCGACAATTTAACATAAAATTGGAAAAATCTTTATGAAAATACCTACTTCAGCTTAATAACTTCGACACCGGCTACATTTCAATTCAATTAAGTTAATGGAATTCAGTCGCATCGTAAAATAATTCCTTTGTCACTCTGATTTACGAACGAAAGAAGCTATCCATTATTTAATAAAAGAAGATTGCCCGTGCAGTACTTTTTGCACTTGAAGAGTTACGTTTTTTTTTCAAAATGAAAGGTTGTGCTGAAGACTACATTTAGATCAAAAGCTAATCCGAATATTCATGAACACTTACAAAGGGCTCCAAGTTATTTGTTTAATGTACGGTAGGAAAACTTGTTTTAAATTTCACAGCTCTGACGCCGATTGTGTGTATTTATTTCTAGCAGCGAAAGTGGGTCTTATTCTAACTAAAATGTTTACTTCAGCTGTTTACATTTACATGCAAATGAAGCTTTAAACTTTTTTTGTAAACGCGATGAAAGATAGGAATAAGAAATGGAAAAACTTTTTATGTCTTGTACTCAGCAAGGTATGTTTGTTTCCTCGTCCTTCGCTTAATGAATTAAATTCTTTTTCTTTATTTAGTGTCTGATGTAAAATTCAGTACCGGTGGATTATAATAATGTATACTTTACTACCCCTAATTCATAATGACAACACCAATTGCGAACGAATTGACGTAGGTAAAAAGCTTGGCTCAGGCTTGGCCGGAGCTGGATATCATTTTTGTCAGGCACATTATGCCATTAATTTCATGCGGTGTAATAATTTCAGTTTAAAATCTTTTCAACAATGCATTTGTTTTAGGCCCCAATTCTTATCTCAATTCCGAAACATTTCTAGAGGGAATGCTGCCAGAACAATGTTTTTTCATCTCATAACTTTTCTTCCGTTCTATCTCTAGAATTGAGTACGCCAACTTTTATTTGCCAAACTCCGCTTTAGAGCAGAAGTAAAAAAAAGCAAAGAACAATATTACCGTGGAACTTTTTACCCGCACAGAAATACAAATATTTCGTGGTAGTAAATTGCATTAACTTTGCATTTGATTTTCCATAAACACACTTTTATAATTATTTTATAATGGTAGCGCATTTGTACGAGAAGGGAAAGAGTATCACCGACCCCAAAAATAAAGCCCGAAGCAAATTGTGTTAAAACGGATTAACATGTATCCGTTTCATCTGCATAATGGAGAAAGCTTTCGCTTCGTTTTATGATTTTGATACAATTTAGCCAAATGCGTTTGGTTTCGAGCCTGGTTTCTAGTTAGCTGTGTAAACCCTTTTTTTTGCAGGATGTGGTATTATTGTACTCATGTGTTAATCCACCACTCAGAATGTGCAACTAGATAAGAAATCAATACTTCATCGGACAGTTGCTGTTTCCGATGAAAAGAATTATCTCCACTTGTGCGATGTTCTTATTAACACAGTACAAATAGTGTACTAAAACAAATGTCGTGAAAGTTATAGTTATAAACAGGCTAAAAATCCCCCTCCTCCTAACTGTGGCGAAACATGGAAAATAGAATTTTGCAAATGGTTTAAGCAAAGAGCCAGAGGGCGGATTTACGTAGTGTATTTGGTGCTAATTTATACGGAAAGTCAATACACGAAATATACTATGTGTGTATTGGACACGTGTTCTATTTACTACATAAAAAAATGTTCATCAATGAATTATGTTATTGTGTCCGGTTCAATGGGCAAGCTCACCAACGGAATAGTAGTTGTTAGCATTTTTTTTACTCTTAAAATGGAGATTATTGTTTCACTAACTGTCGGCTGGTCGGGCACCTTTGATAAATCGATCGAGATTTCGGCAACGGAATATAGTAAAACTTTGGGGTTTTCGGTATAATATTCGTACTATCGTGTTATTCCTGCATCGTGAAGTCTGACAGCTGAAAGACATTCCTGATAATTTAAGAATTTGTTTTAAATGTGTTAAAATAAGGAAATAGAATGTCATAGTGTGTATGAATGTCAGTTTTTTCGTTTAATAATAGTTATTTGTACAACTACTTTTGAAAGTGAAACTTTTTTTCATGAATTTGCAGTTTGATTAATGAGGGCACAAATAACTAAGTTGCTAGTTACCTATTGAAGTCAAATTTCAGAAAACTGGAAATAAATGAATAAATCCTAGTAAAACTTCATATAGAGCTAGCCGTTGGCCATCTAATAAATTTGACTAAAGAATTTGCTAGTTTATTTAGAAATTTCGTTAAGCAAACGTAGTTTAACCCCTTTTAATGCAAAAACCTGTTGCAACGTATCGCTCCTTGTTTAGTAGACCGTGAGGTAAAGGGATTAGATTCCAAAATGGGTTTAACAGTTTCAAAGTTTATCATTAAAATTGGTTGGAAGTACATTACAAGAAGTAGTTCTGCACATAACGATTCCATTAAACATAAATGGCCTCAGAAATTAAAAAAAATATCAATGATGACATCACACGTTTAACCTTTATTATCAACTTTTCCATATGCAACTCCCACCTTAGCGACGTTTTCATCCCTCATACTAATTTGTTTATTGTCAGAAAGTGATACTCATACAAAAGTAGAATATTATATAGTCTGTCTAAAATTGACGCGAAGTAATAAATATAGTTGATAGACAGAGCACTTCCATACAAAAATACTATTTCTATTTCACAAATTTATAATTTATTACTTCGCGTCAATTTTAGACAGACTATAGTCTGGGCTGCATTGCTCTACATGCAACCCTTTGGGGTTTTAGTAATGGTCTCTCTACGTTTTCGTAAGTTTCTTATCCTAACTACTGGTATTAAGTAATTATTTCAAACGATAGGGCGAGCGATTATTGTAATACGAAATTCGTTCATTATCGATCAACAACCTGTTGCCTTACGTTTCAACTTAACAATTTGATACTGTAAAAGTAATTAAGTATATTGCGTGTACCCGTTTAAATCATTTTAATACTCGAGAAAATAATTTCAAGCGAGAAAACGAGCATAAGGATTAACGTTCCGCAACAATTAATTATGCCCGTTTTTGACAATATTTCATAAAGTGTAATTTTTAAACAGATTTAAAGGTCACGATAACAGCGAAAATGTTTGGAGAAGTCATAAATAAACAAGGGAACTGCGCGTAATTTGCATTTAGTTACGTCGAGGTTAACCCTTATTTAGGTTAAATTTTAATTTAGCTCATACCTAAGCTATAATTAAAAGTGTGGAACTGGAAGTAAAAACTCAAGTATTGATTTTCAGTTTAATATTTACTAGATTAGGAGTCGTTAAAGACGTACTCCGTGCAAAGCTTCAAGTTTCTCAATTAACCCTAATTTATTAAACTCGCGATCGATGGTTGTTTAGAAACGTGGATAGTCATTAATTGCCAATTTACTTTTTTAATATAGAAAATTTATACAAAAGTCCCTTTTTTGGTAGGTGCCGTAATTAAGATAAATGGGGTAGTATAAATGGTACGCAGAGTCACAGCATAATGAAAATCGTTGCAAAACGTTGTAATTAAGATGTAACGTTATAATTCTTTCTCCAAACTTCTATTATTCATTTCTCCCCAGACTAGCAGACTCATTTGTCCCCCATTCAACTTTTACATACGAAGTCGTTGATGAATTAGTTCGAGACGGTAAATGCTCATGTTTCACACAAACATACGAGGGGTCGTTTTTATATTCCCGGACTAGACATGAAAACAAAAAACAATAAACAATAAAACAACAAAAGTCATGGCTATATTGCTATACTAATAACAGAAATGTTGAAATTTATTTTTAAATTTGCGGGTATACCAAAAGCTTAATAAAACATGTAAAAACAGTTTTGTATGCCCCTTTTAATTCTGAACAACTTTTTTTCTGTAAAATGTGCAGGAGTATAAATATTAGTGGGATTTGTGATCAGACTTCCCTAACTTCATCAAATAAATTTGATCAGTAGATTGATGCTTTCAAATGACAAGTTTTCCATGTAACGAAAGCTTGATACAGAAGAAAAAGCTTTTTGTTACACAGAAAATTATTTATATAACGATCTGCATGGAAAAGCCGTACCTATATAGATGAAATCGTTACACGAACGGCGAACGCCTTATATTGCACAGATGGGCAATGTTTTCTAAATTGAGAAAATGAGAATGACTTTCTGGTGTAGTGAATTCAATGCCCATTCCTTTAAATTCCTCTTTAAAAATAACGCCAACTGCTCCTAAATGTTCAAATAGAGCCCAAGCCCCTGCAATCGTTAGGTTGTAATTTATTAAACAGGTGCGCAGTTATCCCAACTTCTGTTAATTTTGCCGCAACAATTATACAATTTCTCATAGTAACACAATTAATCCGGTTCGCCGATAATGAAACTTTTATTAATATTCGCGTACCAAATACCAAGAGGGTAAAATAAATGGAAATATGCAAAGAATGGAATCGTTTTATGGACACATGACGTAACCATTCAATATGGGGCCGTATACGATCGTAATTCAATATAAATGTCACTTACCAATGGCCGTTTTGTTAAAATCAAAGCAATGGACTCACCTGAAACGAAAAGAAAATGTGTTCAAAAAGGCCGGGGCAAAGAGGTTTTCTTTTTGTAACATACCCTATTTTTGTCCATATTTTTAATGTGAAATTGACACGAAAATCAAACACTAGACCGTCTATCGCGTACACTTTCACCAACTGAAGTGATAACGTCGCGTAAGACAAGTTTACTATTATAAATTGTAAACAGGCGTCGTCGTCATCGTCCACAGGTGTTTCGGGTTCGTTGGTATCGCTTTTATGCGTATTTAATTCAAAATAAATTTTCTAATCTGCTCTTTGCGATAAATGTTAGATTTAGGCTGAGCTACAGCATGGAAATACAAAAACATGACCAGTGGCGGAGGCAAATTCAATCAAATATAAAATAATTTAAAAAAAATTATCATTTTAATCTTTCGATTAATCTGTATTATAGGGTTGTAAGCACCTCAAAGAAAATAACTGTACAGCTCAGTTAGTTACCCACAGCAAAAGGTTTCAATTGCTAACACATTTCAAAAAATTAGTACTTATATTAAAATCACCATTCACTGGACGAGGGATAAGGGCGTGTAATCACCCTTTAAACTACAAAAAAATTAACTTCATACTCCCAGAAAAAAAAGCATCACTTTCTTAATATAAAATCGCCGAGGGTATACAAGAAAATTAATTTCATACCCCCAGAAGAAGACTATTGTAAGTAGATCTGATGATTATCAATAGTTTGATTCTAGTTAAAAATTGATACTCCTTTTTTGGGGGTATGAAATTAATTTTCCGTATTTTAAGGGTTGACTAATGCCTGCAATCATTCATCGCGTCATATCATCGCGTCGTGGGTGGATGGTGATTTGATTGTAAGGATAGGTAATTAATAATAATAATAATATGTATATCATGCATTGTAAACCTTACAATCGTCATAAATCGATATGTGTATATTTAATAACAAATCTTATACTAAAAATTATGATAGAATATCCTGACTATAATTAATAAATTCCTGAACAGAGCAAAAATCATTTGCAATTAAAAATTTTCTTATTTTATCTTTTTACGGTGTAAAATCACTCAAATTACTCATCTTTTGATTTCCGTCAGCAATTGAAACATTTTTTCTGAGGGTAGCAGGGTTGCAGGGTTATTTTATTTGGGATGGCTACAACCCTATAATATAATATAAGCAAACCCTCGATTCTCCCAAGAAGAAATTTGATCCGGGATGTCTTACTTAGGACTGAAGAATTATAAGATCACTCTCCCGGACAGGGACTCAGATCGCTCGTTCGTAAAACCTGAGGGGTTCGTGTGGTTTACAGACGGATCCCTAAAGAAAAGGGAAACGGGAACGGGGATGATTTTTTTAAAGCAAAATTCAATATTCCTGTGGTTTGGTAGGCTCCCTACTCACCCGAAATGACTCCGTGTTACTTTTGGCTATTTTCCAAGCTGAAAACGAATTTGAGTTTAAAAGAAGAAATGCAGAATGCGAGGTCCAGGCTGAACATCATTCCAAAAACTGGGTTACGGGTGGGTTTCCAAAAACGACGAAAGCGCTATGAGGATTGTGTGCATCACCAAGGAGACTAGTTTGAATGGGATTAGAGTTTTGGACCTCTAAATCAATACATATTTGTATGCCGATCGAAGGTTCGATACTTTGTGTGGTGATGGACCAAGAGCTGACTTCAGCTATTCCTTTGGTCAGCATAGCACCGTGTTTCAGAAAGTCATCATGACCTGTGCACAGGAGAACACCCTTAGTAAGTATGGAGTGACATTTGGGCGGCGCAGAGGGCTTTATCAACAGACAGGTTCCAATCGGCTATGGCGCTCCATTGCAGAACTCTATATAGATTAGGTGAGTATAGGGTAAGCTTGATTGGTGTGCCAGCGCATTGTGGAATAGGAAGCAACAAAAGGGCGGACGAGCTGGTTCGCGAAAGCAGTAGTGGGGTCTTTGTCGGGCCCGAGCCTACCCTAGGAATTGCTCCCTCCGTTGACAGGGCCAGTATTAAAGACTGGGTGACCAGTCAATTCCAGGCTCGGTGACAACAAGCTACTGGACTAAGCTTATAGGACTAGAAGCCAGGTTAGGAAGTATGTACATCCAGCAATTCATAAAATGTTTTCTCCTTCTCGCTCTCCTGTCCTGAATATTTCTTTTTTATTACTCTGCCATGTGTCTTGCTTACCTCTTACGTCTAATACTATTTTCAGCCCAGTCTAGCATTTTATATATTTTGTAATCAGGGGCAATCTTTAATTCTATTCTAGTATCATCCTTTCTTTACCCAATCTTCTTACTTCTATTACCATTCTTAGATACTTCTCATATTTTTCATATTCCATTTCCTTCCACACTCATAACCTACAGTTAATGCTAGATAGATGCCCCCCTTATTTCCATTTTTTTAGCGCATTTTTGCAAAAAATTTTTTTTTGTAAAAAGTAGCTTTTAATCTCACTTTGGCTGGCTGGCTGGCTGGCTGGCTGGTCGGCTGGCTGGCTGGCTGGCTGGCTGGCAGTAAATGCGCGCCCGTAGAAAAACGCTTGTAAAAAGACAAGGAGTGTACATGTAACTATCGGGGCCGTGTAATTAAGAACGTTAGGGATGGGGCTACAAGATTTGGAGTCGACGACATCTGGACGCCATCCCCGAGCGTATTATACTAACCTGGAGATTTTTCAGTTTTTATCTATCTTCTTCTACAGTTTTTCTCCGATTGTTTTCAAATTGGTGTCGTCGGGAAGATCTTGTCAACGCGCACAACTCCTGCGTGGCGGAATTTTGTTTTTTTTCCTAGGGGCGAAATAAACCACCTTTTGCGCGGCGCGCTTCGAGGGGTAGTCGACTTTGGGCGCCCAAAAGTTTCTTACAGCGCGAATCGCGGTCTCTCTTTCTCGTGTCATTAATAGAAGGTCGAGCTATGTGAAGTACCCAAAAGTTGAATACGATTTTATGCCGGGATTTTAGCGAAATCTACCAAAATGTGAATTACGAATGAACGGGACGTCGGAACTGTGTATCGACAAAGGGAATGTGGTAACCCCCGACGAGATCTTACTGATGGTGGAGTCGAAACTTCAAATCCGAATTGTTGCGGGTGATCAGAAGTGGGTGTCGACAAAGGGAATATGGTAACCCCCAAAGGATTTTACTGATGGTGGAGTCAAAACTTCAAACGCGAATTGCAAGTGCACGGTAAGTGAGAAAATGGTACCGACAAAGTGAACGTGGTAGCTTTCGGCAAGATCTTATTGATGGTGGAGTCAATATTGGCTAATAAAACACTGATCTGCCACACAAAAATGCGCTGAAGTCCCTTCGATCTCACACGAGGACTTTGATCATTTTCATTTGATGAGTACAAAAATGCTATTTTCGTAATTGGTTACGGTTTTGGTCAAAAGTAATGTCCCTCGCTTATCTTAAGACGTGTAGCACATAAGTAATATACCAGATCTCCTGTGAGCTTTGAGCTTCTTTTCAAAATGTGGAAAGTCCCTAATATTGAAATAAAATCGAAGTTTAAGTTTAAGCACGTATGCAAAGAAGATAATGCTTTTCCTGTAAAACTTTATTTTAAGGTACCAGGCATAAAATCTGAATTAATTTCAGCATTCGTTCCCAATACCAAAAAATAGAAATACCAACATTTCACAAAATTAATGATTATATTCTCAAATTGCAACTTGTTCATGGGTTTTTTTGAGTATAATTCAAGTATTTACGTAGCGCCCCTCTTTTCAGTAATTAATTTTTTAGAGCACATCTTCTTGACCTATAATTTTCTGGTACTATAAATTATAATGTAATTGTAATTGAATGTATTAGACACTGTAGATGTATAGAAGCGGTGAAGGACGTTGTTTAATTTTTTTATTTTATATACCTGGGCTTTCGAAAGAGTCTTCAAATTTACCTAGGAAATTACTAATCTATCTGGTCGGTACTTGACAAATCTACCTTGGAATTTATAGATTTGTCTGGAAATTAGAGATTATTTGGGAATTTTGAATCAATGATCTTACACTTACTTATGCCATCCTCACACACTTGATGAACTTCGAGAAGATACCATGAAAAGTTATTGCCGGAAAACTATATTGTGATAAACTTTTGGCCGCTATTGTATATTTCAGTAAGGCCTGATAATGCATCATGCGATTCGAAATCGGTAACCAAAGAAAATATAATCTCAATTATGTGAACGTGTTTCAAATACATATATACGAAAAGGCATCTGTTTGAAAAATCCGATCTTTGAATATAATGTAACATATGAAATAAGTTTCACTCAGTTTTACTCCCGAAACTGTAACACATTTACAATCTTCTCGTTGTAGAAGGGCAGATATTGATCATCTATTAATTAAACACAAAGGGTGATCAGAAACGGATGTCAGTGGTTATCCTAAAAAATAGTATGCATTGCATTAGGGATGCACTCACCCTGCATGTATAGAACGACATTTAAACACAAACAGAATTCGTCATTTGGGCGCTGAAAACCAATTAGGTTAACTCGGCATTACAGAAGTTATACCATGTGGGATTAATAGAGATTTATATCTTAATTCTCCTTTTAGAATTCGATTCGTAGCGCACCGTGAACTGTTTGTAAAAGCTTCGGTATTCCTCTTGTATATTTCGGTAATTTTGAAAACGTGTGGGAATCAAGGATGCTTTATTTATTGTCCGAACGTATAACTTATTCGGTTTCGTCCAAATTTAATTGCGGAAAGGCCAAAGCGTAGGATAATAATTGCCTTCGGTGGAGGAGAACCACATTTGTATGTCGCATCCGAATGGGATTTTCTACAAATTTATTCAATCGAAAAAAAAAGTAACTCGGTAAGGTATTTTTAGATACCAAAATTTACAACGCAGAAAATAAATTATTCATGTTTTTGTCCATTACGGTTGACCGACAATTATAAAGTGTATTTATTTTTTAAAGCAAATGTTGTCTTAGTTTCTAATTTTTAAAGTTGACTGTGCCAAACAGCACCCATTATATTAATATACCTTTACGATTAGAAGTTCCTTATGTGTTCCAAAATTTATGATCACTAAGTATGTACAACAAATACCTTTAAATGACTTAAAACAGTTCAATTCAATTTACAATAAAAAAACAACATTAAAATGGCAATTTAACAAATTTTCCGATTCTGTCTGTTTGGAAGAAATTCCCCCAGGTCATTCTAATAAATTGAAACATTTTACACACAGGATATCACAACTGCTATTTTCAATGCTTAAACCGAAATTACGCTAAGAACACGTACATTTTTTAACTACAGGGTGGCTCGCTCTCATCTTCGGGTGTGATCAGACAATAGGGACTAAGGCTAAGGGGATCTTGGCCCACTTTCCTTTCCCCCGTCCGGCAAGTGTTCTCTCCCTTTCCCCTCCGCCACAGTTTCACTAAATGACTAGGCGTTTCGTGAAATGGGTTTTACTTAAAGATTACAACATATACAGTGTGTCCCAAGTGCCAAGAACCGACCATATGGAAACTACAAGGTATTTTTTCGGGAAGGATTCATGAGTCCTTTGAAATTGGCGTTAAACCTACTACTCCAATCTCTTTCTAGCATCAGGCCAGCGCAATAACGTAGTACGTTGAACGCTAATTTCAAATACATATCAAAGGCCTCGTGGATCCTTCGCGAAAAAAAACATTAATTCTGTTTGTCTATGGCTTAACCTGGGACACACGGTATATTCTTTCCTAGTTGAAAACGGAGGAATGTCAGTTCTCTTTAAATGAACTCGTGCACCAATCAATGACGATTTTCAAACCCAACATCCGAACTATCAAAACCCACCTTGAGAAACGCTTTGGCAACAAGGTAACGTTTTGTGAGATTGACTGCGGTCTCAGCCAACAGGCAGTTCAATATTTTCGTGACGTCGAGAAAAAAAACTCTGTATGACAACGAGTACAATAAGAGAAGAAGCAATCCAGAAGAAGAGCGAAAAACTGCACTTTCTGAATGTAAACACAGCAGAATAATTTACAAATTACGGCTGCTATTATGTTATAATGTATCGTGTTTCATTTGTTTTATTTTCCAAGGCCTACCTAAAAGTGTAGGGTGCTTTTCCAAACAAACTTTCGCGCCATCGACAAATGCCGGAAATACGTCAAAAGTAAATTTAAGATACAATTTTTATTAATTCATTCATTCATTCATTCATTCAATTATTGCAAAAACAATGGAACGCCCCACACCATCTTTGTTTTTGATATAACTGAGTTTGTTTTACGAAAATGATAGATAAACTGGTTATCTTTAAAAATGTGAAGAAAATTGTTAGTTTATTATGCGAAATTTAAAGAAAATGCAATTTTAAAATTTAAGATATCAGTTACGCCCTATGGTGGTCTTTTTTAGAACTTGAAAATATTTTCCAGCGATTCTTCATGACCGATTTACCCAATAATTTTTTTTAACCCTAAGTAATATGACGATCGGTTCCCGAGATATTGCCGAGGAACAGTCTTATTGGGTCACTCGGTACATACCTACTTCATTTGATTTTGTTAGTTAGACAAATCAGTACTAAAATTTTCACGGGTTCCAGTACAGGGACTGTATATTATTGAGCATTTGTATTGAAATGTGTATTTTGTTAATGGTTTCTTATTTTGTTACCTTTTTTTAAATTTTAAATCGATTTTTAAAATCAAATTTACCAAATGAAACTCAGTTACTTATCTTTGAACGGTTTAAGGCATGGATTTTAAGCGGACCCTTGCATCTCCAAATTTTTATAGAAAAATTGATAACACTACTGTTTGACTGTTTGATTCGAATGATATTCAAATAAAACGATTGTTTTCAAATCTTGCCACATAAACTGAAAAAAAAGAATATCCCTTTCACAGAATATTAATAAAAGTGAGCACATTCAAATCTCCACTCATTTATGGCATCAGAAATAGTAGTTTTAATAAGAAAATCTAACATTTTTTGATAGTTTTTTGATAATTTTGAAAAGCCGCACAGCCCTGGAAACAGGTTGCGCTATGTCAAACGAAAGACTTCACTAACGTATCGTATTGACCAAATTCCTCTTAACAAAGTGTTCTACTAATGTAATCGTTTAACGCACCCATTTCTAATTTTCTTATAAAATTAAAAATTGTCTAAATCGAGGTCTAAATATCGTGGTGAGGTGCGAAAAATGCGCCAAAACACAACTAACTTCACAATCAACACCCTCGTTTAATTATTACGGTATGTTTACTATAACATACATATGTCTAGACGGACTCAGATAGCCAAATTACTGCTGACCTTTTGAAAAATGATAAGCAGTGATGATAAAAGGCGTATTTGTATCTTACCCACTGCAATTTGTCAGTCAATGAAAATCAAATGGAATTCTGACCGCATTACATGGCAAAAGTAATTAGGAACGAATAACAATAATGATAATTTTGTTTGCTATTACATAATGGTTGATTTAGTAATTTATACAAATTAATATAGATAATTAAAAGCAAAGAATTAACGAAGGAGGTATCGCTCGGAGAAAAAGATACCTAATATGTGAGTTCGGGCAAGACGAAATCTAAAAAAAACGAGAAGAATGTACATATTTGTATTATCAACAGATAAGGAAGTAATAGTGATTATATGTAGTCTAAGTGATAACCAAATATTAATTTTAAAAATCGATCTGGATTCCTATACCAATTTTATGTAATCCACTTGTACATATATGTTAGAAGTAGAATTGCAACAATGTAATTTTTACTTAATTTACTTACACTCTGATTTACAGTTTGTACCAACAATATTCAATATTTATTCTCGATAGCGCAAGGTATGGAAATTGATTTTCGACGTCATGCTGTGGAGGATCAAAGAGCGACCCACTCTAGATAAAATTCTAATTACGCCGGGCGATCAACGTTCATAAGTATTTTAGAATGGTGAAACTAGTCGCGCGTGTTGCATTAATTCCCGTCTGCAATATTTAGCAAAATGAGTGTCGGTACCTTCATCAAACGCAAATTAGAATTTCTAGCAGTGGCCTGCTTAGCTCTAACTCTCGCGTTCGGGCCGCTGGTAGGTTTCTTTGTCGCTGGCTATTTGCTTGTGTATTCCAGTTACCGTTATTATGTCATATTGTACATTGCGTGGATATATTTGTACGATTTAAATACATGTGAAAGGGGAGGTAGAAGGCTGAGGTGGGTGCGCTCTTTGCCTTGGTGGACGTATGCAAGGAGGTACTTTCCCGTGTCGTTCGAGAAAGACGACAATGTTGAATTGGATCCTACCAGAAACTACATGATGTGCTCGTTTCCTCACGGAGTATACCCACTATCTGCGTTTCTTGCATTTGCATGCGAGTCGGATGGTTTCAAGAATCATTTTCCTAACTTTACTCCGTTTGGGATTACTTTAAAAATCAATTTCCTATGTCCGTTCTATAGAGAGTTCATGCTTGCAATGGGAATGTGCAGTTCAAGTGCTGAATCCATAAGATGGATGCTGAACAAGAAAGAGGGTGGAAATGTAGTGATCATTTCAGTTGGCGGTGCGTCAGAAGCCATGCATAGTAAGCCGGGCCAATACACGCTGGTGCTCAAAAACAGAAAGGGATTTGTAAAACTTGCTTTAGAAACGGGCAGCCCTCTTGTACCCGTCCTTTCCTTTGGCGAACCAGATCTACTTGATCAACTCCCAAATCCGATAGGTTCAAAAATGCGCGCGTTTCAAGAATGGGCAAAGAAACGTATGGGATACGCGCCAATCATACCAAAGGGACGGGGGATCTTTCAAAATTCGTTTGGAATTCTTCCAAAGCAAAAACCGGTTACTACAGTCGGTGAGTATTCGCATTAATGTGTTTAAGAGAAAGTAACAGATATTTATAGTCGGACCTCCGCTTGATGTACAAAAAATTGATAATCCGTCGCCCGAAGAAATCTCGATCGTTCATCAGAAGTTTGTGGACCATTTGGTCGAATTTTTTGAGCAGCACAAACACAAATATGTGGATGATGCAGACAACGTCAAATTAGTTATTTTATAAGTAACTATTGTAATTTATATCGTTACCGTAGTAGTATTGCAAATGGCACCAAACAAATTAGCAGATTAAGTTGTCGTATTTGACCTGTTCTGATAGGGCAATACCATTTCATTATTGTTAATATTCATGTTTTCTTCTTTTATTGTATGTCTCACTTATCGAATGATATTTATATTGTAGCGTAAGCCACATAGAACAAACATCCGTTGCAGAAATATTACACTACAATGTAGCAATGGTAGTATAATAGTAGTAGTACCTCTATGATACGAAGTAAACCGGATCACTGAATTGAAAAGTTAAACTGTTAAAGTTATAGTAACGGGCAGGGTAACGGGTGATCAAAAATGAGTTGCTGTCGAGTCGCCTTTGGAAGTTCAAGTTAAATACGATTTCCTATGTAAACAAAAGTTCCAAAGGTGACTCGACAGCAACTCATATTTAATCGCATTGTATGTAATCCACCACAGGTTAAAGATAAAAATTCAGTTTTTCTTATACCTATCTAGTGACCGAAAATAATTAAACTGCAATTTACACTCTCATCTTCTCCTGAAAATGGCCTACAATTTCAGTCGATAAGTAGTTTCAGTTAGAAAAGGGTCGAATCCTAATGAAACTTTTGTATGTTGTTCAGGGATGGTTAGTTAACATTTACTCAAGTTTTGGAACTCGAGGATCCTATGCGAAAAGATGAAAGGGAGGGGTAAATGCCAAATTTTTGACCTTCTTCCGGTGTTTCCTCAATAATTTTTCCCCTGCCCTACTGCAAAAAATTAGGTGCGTCTACAAAGACTACAAAAAATACCTCACCCTCTGCAGCAGTGATTCCGTACCATACGCTTATACTTCCTCGGCCGCAGAAAAGTTCCTGGTTGCAGTTTATGGAGGCATCATTGACAATGATAATTTCGACGACCTACGGTACCGATTATTCACACGATCTGTGATTAATGCTAAAATGCAATCAGTCCGCCTACCACAAATAAGGGTCGCTGCAAAGTACTTACCAGCAAGGACGGGTATAGTTAGGCAATAGGCAATGAACATCTCCCTTGCTGCGCCGGATGCCATTCTCCAGATTGTTTCCCGTAGGTGCAGCAAAGGCTGTAGCACCGGAACTTGCAGCTGCAAGAAAGTAGGTTTCCGGTTCTCAGCAATGTGCAAGCGCTCTTGCGAAAACGCCACCGAAAATTCCCAGAAAATTGTTTTTTTTAAATTGGGGTTGGATGAAGGGGAGAGTAAGCGAGAGTGAGAAGGTTAAAAGTTGGTGTTTGTAACCAGAAACCATAATTACAACATCTCATCATAATTATATACCAGAAGATATGAGAATGCTGCATTTTTTTACGAAATGTTAAAAATGAAGTTTTTTTGGGTGACGAATTGACTACAGACATGAATCAAAATTGTTGGAAATTTAACGCTCTACAGAAAAGCATAAGAATGCCATTGCCGTAGAACGCAAAGGAAAAAGGTTATTGAGAAGAAACCGGAAGAAAGTCAAACATTATGCAGTCCGCGCCCCCCACCCCATCCTCTTTTTGCAAAGATTCCTCGAGAAAATGTCCATAACCATCCCTGAACAACTTCCAAAAGTTTCATTGACCTCCGGCCTTTTTCCACGTAACTCCACTTTTTCCAGCCTGTCGACTGGACTGTATAATAATAATAATAAATTGCCTTTATTTGAGGAAATAGAAAAAAATAACCAAAGGACTTCCAAGCAAGGGCGAAGTTCAGTGCAGCAGAAAAAACCGCTGCCTGTTCTTACACTTAACCCTAGAAATTATTCCGATACCTAGTATAGACATATTCTATTTGGTATGAAAACTAATTAGAATTACTAAATTAAAATAAAAAAAAAGTATGAATGTGAACTAGACAACAAAAATGTAACAAACAAACAAAAAATATTCTAGTTTAGGCACGTGACTGATTTTCAAGCAGGAATTTCCGTAGCTTACACTTCAATGAAATTAAAGAAAGTTTTTTAAGATTTTCGGGTAGTTATTGTAAATATTTGCAATGCAATAAGAAAAGGAACGTTTAAGAAATTGAGTAACATGTGTTGGCGGTGTTAATAGCCCCTTAAACCTTAAATTCAGATTATGGACATCCGTCCTAAAGGTGATCTTTTCATACAGATAAGATGGCGACCTGTTGATTATAATATTATGGAATACCGTGGCAGCATGCAAAAACCTCCGATTTTTCATATTAAGCCATTTTAATTCCTTTAATTTGTGACTAATTGGTTCAAATTTCCTGACTCCAAAGCCCATGATCCTTCGAAACATTTGCAATACGCGTTAGATCTTCATTAATTCTATGGCATGCTAACTGTATTTCCGATGGGTCAAAAGAGTAGTATAACTGCATATCATCCGCATAGAAATGAGAAGTACAATGCTTTAGTGCAAGAGGAAACGTAGAAATATAGATGTTGAACAAGATTGGACCCAATACGGAGCCTTGCGGTACACCGCAACTAGTGTGAAGAAATTTAGACATAATACCTGCAGTCGACACCGCTTGGACTCTATCTTCCAAATAACTAATCATAAACTTCCTGGCTGCATATGATAGTCCCGAGTAATGTAAGATAGAAACGAGCAGTTTGTGGTTAATTGTGTCGAAAGCCTTCGTAAAATCTAACAACACCAGAGTAGTCAAGTGTCCCTTATCTGAAGCAATCATTATGTCGTCCACTATTTTTAGCAAGGCTGTATTGCAACTGTGACCAACTTTAAAGCCTGACTGTACGTTGGGAATAATTTTATTGAAACACAAATGCGACGAAAGTTGCAGAGCAATTACTCTCTCCATAACTTTAGATAAGGTAGGCAATATACTAATCGGGCGCAGGTCTTTAAGTAAAGTGGGGTTTGAAATTTTAGGCAACGGAATTATTCGTGTCTGCTTCCAACATTTTGGGAAAGTGGAATGCGTAATACAAAAATTAATTATATGCGTAATTACTGGAAGCAGATACGGAATACACCAGTTAATCAGATTAATCCCAATCCCATCAATACCAATTGCCTTTGATTATCATATCAATTTGAGCTATCATGTTTGTTTGGGAAGATCTATCCACCTTCTTCTATTGGATAGTTTAAGCTTCTTCCAAGTTCAAATCGAACATCAGGGGACGTTTCAGATTAAGGAAACCCAACATTACGTGAGTGTCGAAATAATTTGTTTTCCAAAGAAAACGAAAAGCTTTTCTATCCCCATCATCCAATTTCTCCCATTTTGAATAGTTATACAGTGTATGTGTATAAAGTTGTATTTATTAAGAAGTAGACATAGGTAAAAAATGTAAAATTGACACTTTAATAGGTTTGAATGAGTAGACCAAGTTTCTCTTTAATCGTAAGGTTAGATAAAGTGATCACCTTAACCGCAAGGGTAGATGAAGTGAAACATATGATTGGGCATTCAGTCATTCTAATTCCAAATGGGACGCGGAGCATGAGATGAAGTGAAGTTCAGAACATAATATAATACTGTTTCTAGCGAAACGATCGCGACGACAAAACCTAAGCTTGTTATTTTTGACGTCCAAATTAAATTAAGAATTTTCAAAAGGTCTACCATGATTTATATGGCTTCTATCTATAAAATAAAGCTTTGTATTATACACCACGATGAAAAGAAACTAAACCACCTCGTCTTGTATAATAAATAACTTTTAATGTTGTTGCTTTGGCTTCCGTATTCTTAGATATTAGCTATTAGAGTACACCGTATATTTGTGGAGACGACCCGGTATCTAGCAGCGTTTTGCGATGAAAGAGTCTGCCGAAAGTACTTCTGTTGGGTCTAGAAGTTGAAGATATGGTAATTGATTTAATTTCTAGAGTTGTGTTTCAGCCGCCGCTAACGTAATCACGGCTGCAATTAATCAGCCCGCCGGCGCCGTTTGCAACCGTTCTCTTCCAGATATTTCAGTGGTTTTTGTTGCGTCCCAAAGCTCTTGTCATTTTGAAGAAGAGGGTAAATTAATAATTTAGAATTTCCGCTGAACCCGCCGGTTGATGCCAACATTCAATTAACAATGGGTGTTAATAAAATTGGGCTACGGATTCTGGAAATTTTAATGCGGCATAAATGCGTTGTAGTAAACGTCATTCGATTGGGGCATACTTAGTGCCAAATTAAGCGTACTTAATTAGAGAGTTGTGAATCCAGTCCCATATTTTTCTGTTGATTCCCGGCCACGTAATTAATTAAATAAATTTTAATTATCGAGCGTTATCGCAAGAACACGACGGCGAGCAAGAAAAACCATCATTCCCGCCATGGCACAGGCCAATTTTATATAAGGTAAACGTTTAATTTAGAAGGGACCTTTTGCGTTTTGCATCCTCGCTTACATTTTAATTGCTACCGCTCCGTTAATACAGGGTAAGCTTTTTGTTATTTTCCGGGTCATTAATTATAAGAGGGGGGGGGGTATTGACTCGCTTTCCGCAATTGTTTTCCCATAGAAACACTACCGAATCTGCTTATTTACTGTTCTCGCTTTCAGGTCAAGTTTATCATTCTCTTACAAATCGATTTGCCTTACCAAATTTCATTTTAATAGCGCTTCATCTCGTGTACGAATTCGTTTTGGGTACCCTTCGCAAAAATAAACCTTTTTGGGTTGAAACTGACCCCTTCAGTGGACTTTAAAATTGTTTTCCATGTTGTGGACAGTTGAACTTAATTTTAGCACTAGCCTCCATTCCCTCTCCTTTCTCCTATCGGATGATACATCATTTTAAAACCCTTGAAGCCCCACAAAGTGAAATTTGGATAGTGTGGTTATGAATTAATTAAAAAAAGACAAGACAAATACAAAATAAATGAATTTTTGTTTCGTGCTCTGCACAGTTGTTCAGAGGAACGGACATAAAATGCGAATTTTTACAATGCCCTATGAGTTCACACAATTTATAGATGAAATAGTTCCACTTCGAACGGCAATTTGTTGACCACACATGTCCGATTAATTGAATAGGGACTAACCCAATGCCAACTTGAACCTGAAATAAATAAAGAATTGCTGACTGCTGCGATCAGTTAAGAAGTTCTAAAATAAGCTAACACGCAAATTCATAAGCATACAACTACATAAATTAGCGGTAATTTTTCACACTCGTATGTGATAAGATCAAAGATCGAACGACTTTTTTTTTTATTAAACCGTTACTATATTGCAATAATAGTCATAATGTCATGGTCAAATTTTTAAGCACTTGTCATGTATTTTCATAATTGGGCAAAACTACGGGATGCAACATGCTTGTTGATTTTCAATGTTTGGCTAATTCTGTTGAGGACCATCATGGATATGGGGCGGTAGTTTTCAAGTCTGTCGTTTGATCTTCCAAATTTTGGGATTACGATAATCTTTGCACGCTAAAAAAGAAACTTATATGACGATAAAATACACGATAAGAGGTAGGGATGAAAATATCCCTGTCACAGTACTGATACCAAGGCAACTTATTGTGGGTCGTACACTCTCCAATACTTCCCTTCGAACCATACTGAAAACTATGAATAAATACGTCTCATACCCAGACCTTTTATACAATATCAAGATAGTAACACGACATAAATATTTATTTCGGGATATAACGCAAAATAAATATTAATATCGAGATAGTAACACAAAATAAATATTAATTTCAAGATATAACACAAAATAAATATTAATATCGAGATAGTAACTCAAAATAAATATTAATTTCGAGATATAACACAAAATAAATATTAATATCGAGATAGTAACACCAAATAAATATTAATATTGTGATAGGGAAAAAAATTTTAATTGATTGGACATCTACGCCTTCGTGTAGTTTTCACATTTATAGTATATCAATATTCCCTATTCGATCTTGATAAATATGTAATAATATTCAGTCTTCAACTAGCTAGAAGCCGAATGTCGGTAATTATCTGTCCGCGATTGTTCCTGCAATCTTATAATACGATTGCAATAGCTTCAGCCAATTGATACCGTTCATCGTCTTGTGTTTACGGAACGAAATAAACGTATACACACAATGGGAGACATCGATGTGTATCTTCGAAGACATTGTCTCTTGCGATTCAATGGGAAGTTTACAGAACATTGACGTCTAAACAATGAGTTTTTTTTAATAAATTTGCTTTCCTCTTTGTTCAGTAATCATGTGAGTCGATAAAAATATCGTGCGGGAAATACGAATACGTTAACAAATCAATCATTCCTTGATTTTATCTAAACTACCCAACGTTAGTAAACCATTACGGTAAATTGCATCGTTATCGGCGACGCCCGCGCTAATTTACCGAAATTTGTGTTTGTGTACAAATTATTAACGCTTTATAAACGTCAACTTGCTCGCAAAATGCAATCCCATTCGTTACATTAAAAATCAAATCAAGTTTCCGTCGTATTTGGGGAATTTTACGATGCCTCCCTTGTATTAACTTGACACTATCCTTCCGATTGGTAGAAGCTGTAAACTTTCGCTTTCACGGTATTGCATTCAAATTTCATGACGACGTAGTCAAACTTTATTTCTGCCACTAACAACGCGTTTTCTTCGATTCTTCTTTGTAATTTTACATGACATCTTTAAAAGGGGCCTTCGTTCCTCCGTTTTTATGATGGGAACAAAATGCTATTTCGGGGACTATATAAATATGCTTAGCACCTAATCAAATATTGAGTATCGACCGCGATGCTAGTCACGTAAATCTATACATAATTAATAGCAGTCGGTTATCTAATATTTTATGAAATAGATATAGCGAATATAAATAAACTCGAACAGGATAAATTTATCTATAGGACAAACCGTTACGGTTTTATTGATGTTAAAATTGTTAACACTTAACCAATAACCTACGTATAGGATTGAAGTGCTGTGTATAAGAATAAACTTGTAACAAATATGGCAAACGATTCATTGAAAATCAGTTTTTCCTTGGGTAATGATAAACATCATAAGAGGAATAGTAGAAACCTGAACGATAGAAGAAAGCAAATAATCCGAAGCGTTCGAAGAATAAAAAAATAATTCAAAAGAACTATAACAGTTTAAAATACTCCATGAAATTAAAAAATAGGAATTTGAAGAATCTAAGAAACTGAACAATGTGAAAAAGTGAAGATTTGAACACTGGAAGGAATGAAAGGATCATAACAACTTGAGGATTCTAATTAGAACCTTTATTTTTTAAGTTAGAATTTTAAGAATGGCAAGCAGCTGAAGAAATGAGAAATTTTAAAAATCCTAAGAACCGAAGGAATATCAAAAGTGTAAAATACGGACGATTGGAAGGCGTTAGTCATAAAAATTTGAATTATCCCGTAAAGTGAATCGTCTCTACAAGCGTCCGAAGGATTTAAAAATAACTATCAGAAAAAATAAAAAATATACTAATTTATATATATATATATATATATATATATATATTAATATTTATATTTATTTACCATTCAAGCGCATTAGCTGAATGTAGGAAAATTATTGAGTGTTTAAGTACAGGGTGTCCTATTAATAAAGGTCATCGGCCATATCTATGGAACCGTTAATTGCACAGCTTGGGGAAAAATATTTTGTTAACAAAAGAGGTCAAGAGAAATCAGTGGAGATTATTTTCAAGTTTCTAGGTTTGAATTTTGCATCATTTTGATGCACCACATATTGCTCCAGCTCGTAAAATATTTATTTATTTATTTATTATTATTGGCCCTGCTGGAAAGAGCTGTCTTCCGTGTAATCATATTGTACATGAATGAAGTTTTCTTAGTAAACGTGATGACTTTGCAGGTTTTCATGAAAATTTCAAATAGATTTATATATATCAAATAAGATGAAAAAGTGAAAGTATCAGTGAAAACCGCATTTTGAAATGTAGCTGTTTCCTAAGCTGAAATATTATGGCGAAAATACACACATCACAAATTCAAATCGCAATATTCTTCCAAGTTGGTTTTGAAAGAAAAGAAACACCGTTTCACACACAAAACTACTCGGTACTCGCAAAGATCATACTACAATGACCTTTGGTACTCGGTAGGAACTTCGTATTTCTAGCGAAAATGATGGCGGAAATTTTGAACATTTACGTTAGTCATAATTATTGTTTCTTTTATGGTATCATTTATATTTCTTTGATTTAAAATTGAAAAAAATTATTTGTTGCTTATAATTTAAGAACCTATATGGAGTGGTAATTGTAACTATCATTTTAATTAGCGCTTTTTATGTGTTGTTTTGTTTCAAAGCCAACTTAGATGAAGATAAATATTGCAATTTAAATTTGTGAATGTGTGCGTATGGTGGGTCCGTTAACTTGCCCCCCCCCCCCCCACTGAGAGATTTGATAGTCGTATTATGTTAAAATGAATGCGCTCGTTATGCGCTCATATGCGCCACCGATAATAACTCTTGCGCCATTATCGTTTTTTAGAAATTCGAAAAAACATTTGGGGGGGCCAACTGAACGTAGCCCCCCCCCCCCCAGTATGTATTTTGGCGCTTGTAACTAGGTCACCTGATACATTTGGTTATGCGCTCAATTGCGCCACTTGAATTAAAGCTAGCGCCATTACGGTTTAGCCGTGACAAATTTTTAAAAAGTGGGGGGGCCAACTTAACGTTTTTAAAAGTTACTTTTTTTTAACATCTTTTCATACGAAATTGTACTCTCAGGTATGCGCTGAAATGCGCCGTAAAAAGATATCTTTGCGCCATTCTTGTTTTTTGGTTATTCTTAAATATATTTTGGAGGGGCCAAGTGAACGGAACCCCCTATAACGCATTTATGCGCTCAATTGCGCCACTTGAATTAAAGCTAGCGCCATTACGGTTAAGCCATAAAAAATTTTTCAAAAGTGGGGGGTCTAACTTACGTTTTCAAAAGTTACGTTTTTTAACATGTTTTTTCTACTACATCGTACCTTTCATCATGCGCTAAAATGAGCCGTAACAAAAATCTTTGCGCCA